TCAGCTACATGCATAGACTCAGACAGAATTACGCATCTACCCCTCTCAGCTAGATATATATGCACACCGCCTACTGGCTGAAGGAGGACCGGAGCCCCCTCTGGGCCTTAGGTATGCCATTTCTGGCTAACTAAATCTTTGCACACTTGACTCATTCAGTTCATTGATTCCCCCACTCAAGCTCTATACTGACTTGATCGTAGGAGGGATCACCAGAGAACCCAACTCTAGTCCTCTAGCGCGCTTCTTTTGCAGCTTTCTTATCCTAATAGGGGATCAACTGTCTAAAGAAGATGAGAGGAACCCTACATCGTCCATATCGACCCTAAGCTATGTCGCTGATTTGGGATTATCCTCTAACCATGTTGTTGAGTCCCCAGACATCAACAAATATATATTCTTATATGCATATTAGATTTTTGGGTAAAAAGAAAGGACAAAATTAAGTTTTTTTTATTTAGAATTAGAGAAGTGTTGTATCACAGAAATGACTAAGTGTTAATCTCATTTCAGAAAATGGCATGTGTCCCAAATTAACTATACATCAGTTCAACCCGACCCTATGAAGGCCGAGTCAAATGATACCATCATTTGACCCTCCTGAGAGGGGCCGAGTTGAAAGAAGTCCTCACTCGGACCCTGCTGCAAAGACCAACTTTGTGCATTTCCAATAAGAGGACCGAGTCGAAGAGCACCCACATACAAAATGGTCAAATTGAAAGATATGTTTTCTCAGCCTCCTTGCAAACTGAGACAAAAGGCAGTCTTTCTCGAACCCCTCAACGATAGCCAATCACCACAACATTAAATGAAAAGTCAAAGTTATCATTACATCTCCCCTGGAGACATAATGACTCATCAGAGTGTGCTGGCGCCGCAGCCCCATTGTCGCCGCTACAATAAATACGGGGATGACTTGGATTACCCGATGATGACACTTGTACTGTACCGGTTAACTAAGCCAACTGCATGGACTCGACCAAGATTGATAAATACTCTTTAGAATCTACTATAAGTAGGTGCATTGCCTACTGCATGAAGATATACAATTTTTGCTCTAGAACCTACAGTACTCATATTATCTCCACTTAATATCAATACTAACTTGATCGTCGGAGGAATCCTCGGGGAACCTAACTACGACCCTCTTACGCATTGTTTGTGTGCATGATCAAATCCTCTGCTGAATAATCATCCACCAAAGAAGATTGAGGGAACCTAAACACTCTATAACCTACCTAAAACCCTAATGTTAAGTATAAAACATTAACAAATATGACAGATAATAGTATAGATTTTTTGAAATATTTGTGTAAATTATATATGTGTTATGGTTGTATAC